ATTCCAGAGTAGCACCAAATCCCCGTTCTGCAGTCATCTTTACTGCGTCAAGGTTTCCGCTTGTCGCTGCGGCGGTGAAAACAATTTGAAGACTACCAACATTCAATGGGTGAAATCGAGAAACAGCCTCCACCATAGTCCCACCAAGAACAACGTTCTCTGCTGCGACGCGCAAAATCGATAACCATTCAGACTCTTGGAACAACCCCCCACCTTCAGTCGCGAGGCGGAAGAAGTCCAAATTTGTGGCTCTGGCTGCTGCCTCGAGCAGGGGATAGTCCATTTCAACCTGATTGAAGAAATTGCGATTCGTTGCCCCATGTGAGAAGAGGAGCTTCACAGCATCCGAGTGGCCGGCGCGAGTAGCTCTCGCGAGTGGCGAGGCAGGAGGATACTTTCCCTCGTGCGGCAGAACCACAGGTATATCGACGTGAATAACATGACGGCAAAGGATCTCCAGCACTGCTAAGTTGCCGTGAGCGGCTTCTGCGGCAAGCGCGTGCTCGGGGGAGGGGAACTGTCGGAGAGCTCTGTAGCTTATTGATTGGGGGAGCCCAAAAATGCTGACGAGGGATCTGTTGAGAGCTTCGACCGGGAGCGCGAGTCTGGACGCGCTCGAGTAGAGACCAACACGACCGATGAGCTCGGGGGGGAAGGAGAGAAGAGGGAAGTAATGAATTTGGGAATCCATCGTGGATTGAAAGGAACAAAATCGAAATAATGGATTGAAGTCCTTGTCCTTGCGTGGGTACCTTTGACGTTGACCTCTTCAGGTGAGTTTCAGCGTCACGCTGGTGGGTCACAGTCTTCTATCCAGCCTCCGTTGATTGCGAAGCCCGTAGCGAGCGGCAGCGAGAGGGCGAGCTCAAACATAACGCACAGGAATTGTGGCCCGGTTCGGGGGACCTTTTGTCCCTCTGTGAGACACAAACTTATTCAATTCTCCATCGATCTCCAACCTCTTCACTTCAATCGCACCAATAGAATCATATGAGGTGCCGCCCGAACAATCAAGGCTGTCCCCCCTCGCTTGGATTGGGAAAGTCGAGGCGAACTGTGGGGATTTGTCCACAATAAAGATCAATGAAAACCATTTGCGCCAGAGCTTTTCTGGGCATCGGCCACCTTACAACAATGAAATGAAGCGACGCTTTGGCACCCAGACTGAGATTTGCCCCTTTGGTTCTGTGAACTGGGAGCGAAGTCTCGCAAGGAACGGAAGTCTTGGGAACGCACTCCAGATGTGCCGATCCACATTTTATTCGACTCCTCGTCACAATAAAAGCTGTCACTTCAGCAATTAATGGGAGAACTTCCCTCAAATCGATGTTGGGGTGATTCGATGGTTTTCTCATCGAACCCGCTTGCAGTTGGCGAAAATGGAAGGTAGAAACAATTTGGCAAATGGCAGAGTTTTAGTGTCATGCAAGGACTAGGGGATTTGAGCTTATCTGATGTTGTGTGGAGTTTTATTCATATCGAAACCGTCCTGTCCATTGCAAGAACACCAAACTTCAACTGTATCACAATGATGTCGCTTTGACGTGAGAAGCATGAATTCGCTAGCTTTGCCTGGTGGTGCAGGTGATGCAGACAGCTTTATGAGAACCAGAACTCCAAGTTAACAATGCACCAAATTATTCCAATGTCGCGCAGCGTAGTACAATTAAAATTCTTGCAGCTGACAGTGACGTATAAGAGCGTGATTTCGCTCAGCATCAAAAAGGGGGGAAAGCTTCTATCCCGTTGCACGAAGCTCACCCTTTGCTTTGCAAATTCCTCACCTAATTCACGTTCTAAGTACGTGAATTACAATATCAGCTCGCTACGGGCGAGCTCAAGGGCACAGCCCCACTATCTTTTATTCTTATACGGAGAAGGGAAGGGGGACCACGCAGCGTGCAGCCGGGAAGCGTTCCATGTGGAAATTCATCTCGGATATATGTATTTTCGCTCAGAATATAAAACTGCAGAAAAGAAAATGACATGAATGTTTCCAAAAGAAGTAATCTGGCGCGGTCTGTATCCTTTTCATGTACATGACATGGGGTGGAGTTTCGCCCTCCTTCGACTCGATGAACGAAGTAAAGTTAGAATGCAAAGGAGCAATGTTGTACTTTCTACAAGCCACACGCACACATAATAGCCCAACTACACCACTGCCAAGAATGCCTCGACAATCCCGAGATGACGACACCGCAAAACACTCAACAACACATCACACTCCGACCTTCCCACCATCAACATCCTTCCCAGATCCTTCGCCCTCACCCTGCCCACCCCCTGGCTGTACAGGCGGTTGCACTCCCATCGAGACCCCTTCCACCACTTGCACATAGTTGGCAGGGAACCACCCACTCCGCCCGTCCCTTGTTCGCCCTCTCCACCATCCATCCTGCGCGCCCTCCCCTCGGGCAATGACGGCGACGATGTCTCCCGGAGTGAGCGCAAGCTCGGCGGGCGCCGACGGCTGGAAGGGGTACAGGGCGCGAGCGAAGGTGAGTTGGGGTTTGCGCGGGGCGGCGGCGGAGGTGGGGATTGGAGGTGGCGGGGAGTTGGGGAGCGCGGACGACGAAGCAGCGGCTGGAAGAGAGGAAGGGGGTTAAGGTTCGTTGTTAGATTACGGTTTCCGAGCGACGAAAATTGCAAGTCATTGCCTCCGACTGTCCAACCGGGGATTACCGGGGGCCTCCTTTTCCTTTCCCCTCCCTGCCAGAATTAATACCTTTCAGGGGACGATCCCGAAGTCCTCCTTCAACACCCTCTGTCAAAGATTCCATTCCATCCCCCCACCTCCAAACCCCGCCCGATTCTATCACTCACACTCCAGTGCCTTCTCTTCTCTCTCTCTTACTCTCGCCGCCATCGCCGACACCATCCGATTCATCAACCACGGTACTGCAACCACGAAGAACAAGAAGACAAAGAAGATCTTCTTTCCCGCACCACCGCTGCCATCATCCACTTGCCCGTCCGCGGCGCCTTCGAACCGCTCAAATTCGCCCGGGTTGAGCTCCCCCGCTTCGACGGGGAGAGGCCGACCCAGGATCCGCGCGAGGACGCGGCGCAGCCACCGGTACAGCCACATTAGGCTCAGCGCAGACCCGAGGTAATTCCTCAGATTGCCGAACTGCTCCCCAACAGCCATCAGCGCCATCCAGGAGCTGGTCGTCGCGTGGTACGTCGAGCCCATCATGTCGGCCAGGCCCTGGAACGCCTGCACGACATTCTCCAGCACCGCAAACGCCGCCTGCGTCGACTGCATGAGCGGTGTCATGGCATTGGGGTTGTTGGGGTCCATCCCGGCCCCGAACTGACGGTTGTACATCCCGCCGCCGTACATGCCACCACCGTACATCCCACCGCCCATAGAGTTGTAACCACCACCGTAGGATCCGTAGCCGCCGTATGAGCCGTAAGGGCGGGAGTAAGAAGAGTAGGGGGAGGAGTAAGAGGAGTAAGGGGAGGAATATGAGGAGGAATATGGGGAGGAGTAGGAGGAGTATCCGCCTAATATGGGCCGAGAGAACAAATGGTGAGCCATGGGGCAGTCCACACGTATACCAAACGAGCGGAGTTGAAGTGGACTCTCAGCTCATCGAGTCATTGGTGGTCCAGTTGTTACTTTCTCATTTCCAGATGCCTTCTCCTGGTTACACAGCAACCTCCTCCTCCGTATGCACGTCCGGCCAATTTTCCATCCAGTATTCCAGCGATGCAAATCTGGTCTATAGGTGATCGTAAGTGCAAAAGACGTACCCAGTGTCGACCCAAGAGGGGATGTTGTCCCCGGGCCAAGCGCGGACAGGCCAGTGGTCCCGGCAGGTGTTGTCAGTGTCGAAGTCATTGCAGAGCCAAAACCGCCCGCTGGACGAGTAGGGATAGCTGGTGCAGAGCCCGCGGAAGCCGCAGCAGTCTGATCGAGAGATGGAGGGGGAGGAGCCGCTGCTGCCGTCGCGGCTGCTATTTCAGTCGTTGAGGGGCCGGAAGTTGCTGCAGCAGCTGCAGAAGGGTTATTTCTCTCCCAAGGCTTCGGGGGCGATGGCATGAAGCGATGGACGTTGCAAGGGAGCGAGACCTAGCGACGGGCGGGGAGACAAACGGAGTGTCAGGAAGAAAGACACCGAATATGCTTTCCATTTGCAACGTCACTGGAACATCATCCATGGCTGGCCCCTCCGCTCTCCCCATCCCGCCCTGCGAACGGAGCGTGGCACCGTCCACGAGACTCCCGCCGTCGCCGCACCACAAACGCAGCGAAACCCACTTCCAGACAGCGCACGATCCAGCTGTTCGCTTGCTCTTCCCGGCGGATGCGTGCGGCGGTGTTCTCTGTCTTGGTTTCCGAGGGGCTGTGGTCAGTTTCAGAGTGTCAGGTCGGTCTTCCTAGTCTGGTAACCAGACGGACAGAGGTTTACTTTCTTCCTGGGGATCGAAAAGTACATCATCTTTACCCCGCGTATCTTAGAAGAGGGCAGTGCACCGGTTGGTCACACCAGCCTACGGTCTTCCCGTCGACTGCACGTAAACGTTGATATGACTCGAGATGGAGAATGAATTAACAACGTGAAGTTTCGTACAACTTAATAATCAACGTCATGTGTAAATGCTGGCCATCCACCGTTCTACCGGACTATTTTCCAGACCGCTACGAAATAATAACCTGAGAGAACTTAATCGACCCAGATGAAGCAAGGCCGAATGAATCGAGTGATCGCAGTTTGGAGTCCACCGTGGACCAACCGCCTTTCTTCTCTCATCCCAAGCTTTTGTTTTGCAACACTCATGCCCCCATAATTCTCACCATCACCCTCGCCCGCACTCAACCTATATTACGAGCATGATGCCCCTCTACCGAAACCGAAACGCTGGTTAGAGCGTGTCTTCAAACTTCTTGAGTACGTCCTCCCGTGGGGGAGACACTCCTTTGAGTGGGAGCAGAAGCTCGTCTTGTCATTTAAAAATATATGAAATTATTTGATTATACGTCCAACGCTATCGGCTGCATAGATCAGTTGGTTAGATCGCATGCTTCACACGCATGAGGTCGCCGGTTCGAGCCCGGCTGCGGTCATTTTAATGAGATCTTACTAAGATCTTTTGTGCGTGCCCCCTTTGGATTTTTGGCAGTGAGGCGGAGGCTCGGAGCCCGGAGAGTGGTGAGCGGGCAGGACAGGAGGGAGGCGACGAAGGTGATGTCGTGCGCGATGAGAAGAGAGGCAGAGTTTGGAACGCGCTGGGAGGGTTAGGTGGAACGTCGGCGAGTGGTACGGTTGAGGGCGACACAGGTTGGTGGTAGAGTGGCGTGATAGGTTCAGGGTGTGAGAGAGTTGTACGTCACCGACACAGCCCAAGTCGAGCAACTGGTATGACAACTCTATCGTTCCGTCAACTATATTGATCGCGCCCTCGGTCCACGCGTCCCAACCTTCTACTCCACCTGAAACCTTTGGAACGTTATGCTAGCAACCACATCTCGTTAGATGTTTGGGTGTTTGTGATGAATGAATTGTGCTGGCCTCAGTCCTTTGCGTGGCTCCACGACATGCAGTTTCCCAGTGAAGCTTGGCGCTCGAATGCATTGAAGAATAGGCGATTATGGGTGTCACGACTTCATTCATAATCGTGCTCAGAAAGCACGCTTTCCTTGAATGGAAATGGGAAGGGTTGATAACGGTCGAGTTGAACCCGACTCGTTGCGGCGATTCGGTCTCCCACTTGACACCCCAAAGATCGGGTCACTCCTGATTTCGAAACGCACGATCTTGGCATATCAGAAGCTCCCGTATACAAAATTTGAGCTCCTGTCGTTTGATCTGCAGGACAAAACTGCGAAATGAAAATGGATCCCGGGATACGTAATCCGGTGTTAGAAAGGCGCAGCGTTTCTTTTGTAATAGTTTAGTCAACAAAGCGCTCCGATACGCTGTCGCGGGCGAGCTCGCATTGACGCAAATGTTATCTTTCACAGGGACAAACGATGGTGCCCGGTCGTGCATTTAATGATTCCTGATCGTGGGTTCTGACGTGCTTGACATCGAACGGTTCCCCTAATTCCCAAGAACCGTTCACAGCCGTTTGCGCATTTAAAACCCACCAAATCGGGCACATTGACGAATTGCATTCAGGAGACGCCGCCCAAGCCTGCCGCAAATGCCCGCCATTCCCATTTGCAACCGCAACTTGCTCTCCGGGCGAATTCTGCACGGATATCGATGGCACACTGACTGGCACGGGACTCGCAAATACTCCGTATTTTTACGCATTAAATGGGAGCTTGTACACAGACGGACTCGCGATAACAGGTCAGAAAACTGGCAATGCAAATCAAAACGGTCCATTACTCATTCCAAGACCGTCGGCATTACAGCAAGCTTTTCGACGATTGACACCGCGGCTCAAAAGTTCACAGCGCGATTGAACGTGAGGCCATTAAGTTTTTACATCAAATGGACACATGTCGACCGCATATTTTCATTGTTGCTGCAGATAATAGGACTCGGGCGTTTGCCGTTGATAAATCGTCACTCACTCTCGTCGCGGGCGATACAACCAAAAAATTCGACTTAACATCAATTTCACTGGCAATTGATGTGAACTTTACGTGCGCGGGTGATGCCAGTAGCTTCCCTTTCGGTGCTTATGGTACTCTCCATTTCATTCGATGCTTGAGTGTAACGGGGGAATACTGTTCACAGAAGTTTATGACGGGTCCTTCCCAAATGGCAGCATTCCAAGGAACCTTCAACATTGCACGCGCCACGACTGTTCCAATAGGAGTGATCTTCTCAGGTCAGCTTGGAGCTTACTTTGCTCAAACAGGGCTCTCCAACCTTCACCCAAGTCTTGGATTGAATAACCAGTTCTTCCACGAATTCTCGATCGAAGTCAACCGAAGCAAGACCACCAAGTTCTTTGAATTTTAATGGCCATCATTATGTGGGGATTGCTCCTCGGGTATGGTCTCATATCTCTTGACATGTGGTTCAAGGGCCGAAAGTTTGAGGTGCCTTTCCTCGGTAGGTTTCAGTTGGTGTGGGATGCATTCTTTTGCGACTTTACTAAATTTGGTTTCTTCCACTTCCAAAAGCCCTCGGTGCGTCTCTCCTGTTCGCGCTTCCCAATATCAGGAATGCAGCACCACTCGCTCCCCCCATCGGGACGCAACTGGATATGGCAGGACTTTTCGGTGAGAACAGACTGTGGGAACAATGTAAGGACTGTGACTGACAGTTGCACATTCAGTTGGCCTCATCGCAATCGGTGGATGCCTGATTGTGAACATGTTCAGGGTAGTGTACGAAATCGCACCGGTAAGTCTTTGAGCGGTTAAGGAAATGTAGACTTTTGTCTCATTTACGTGTGCATCGTTAGCCAAAGCCACCAGCTGTTGAGCACCCGAAACCCGCTGGTTTCCCACCGCAAGATGTATTTATTGGGAACAAGCGCTATTGAGCAAGGGCTGGAGATGAAAAATGCAGAGGAGATTGAAAGTTCACACGCAGATTTCCAACATTTATTCCAATCATTGTTATTGCGGGCAACTGTAGGGTCACAGGGAAGACTGAATTCACAGAGCAAAATATATGCAGTATTATAAATTACAATACGTCCGGCCACGACTGATGTGACTCGATGCGTGAATGCAAAAGTCTCAGTAAGCATTCTCACAGTCTCACGCTCGAGCCACTCAACGCTCCACTCAACGATTCCGCTTCTGGCAGCTGTAGCCCTCTACTCAAGTCCAATTCGTCGCTCGAAGCCACATCTGCCGGACGCGCTCCGAGATTTGGCGCGTGAGGTATTCCAGGCGAAGATGAGACCGTGCTCAATGCCAAGGAGGAGATCAACGAGACGTTGGGGGTAAGGAGAAAATCGTTGGATAAGGGAGTGAAAGGTTTCGCGGGTTGAAAGAGTGCTGCTGGTGGATTTGATGGACCAAGGGATGTCGGGGAAAGGTGGAAGGAGTACGGGTTACTTGCTTGTGGCGGAAGCTGTGGTGGAGACGGTAGACTCTGAAGATCTACTTTCGGACGGAGTGCTACTGGGGGAGGTAGCGCGAGTGGAGCCGACGAGGTATCACTTGCTGGTGGGGGTCGAATGTAAGATCCAGATAGCGCCTGGGAGGGTGCTGCTGGCGATGGCGTTTGTATAAGCTTGGGAGTATGTGGTGGCGCGTAAACGTTTGGATTATCAAGTGTTAGAGGGATTGTTGTAGCAGGGAGGCGAGCATTTCTAATAGGCCCGCGAACATCCGCAATATCACCCTGTGTAAAGGTTGCGTCGCGCGTTGACCTTCCTGCATTGTCGGGTTCGCTTTTTCTCTGTGCCATCACTGCTCCCGGTCTGCCCTCTCCTATGCGCGCAAGGACTTTAGCTGAAGATTGTGACTCTGCACGCAGTATCGAAGAGTGAAGGGAGAAGGCTGGATACGGGGTTGACGAGGGAGATACAGATGGAGGGAGAAGAGGGGCTGTCCTGAGGACATCACTAAGAAGCGCTTGGTTAGCTCGCGTAAAGGGAGCGAACGAGATGAGGGACGTCTCTTTCATCAGCGTTTGATACCCACATAGGCAGCACTCCGACATTTCCTGTGTCCATGTTTCTTCCCAGCATCCAACCATCACGGAAGACTTCAGTGGGTTGTACAAAATGGCCTGCGGTGAGAGCTAATTCATCCGAGGCTGTGGGATTAAACTAGGTCCAAGAGGATCAGCGTTGAGTGCAACATGGACAACAGATATGATCGAAATAAACGTACGTCTGTCTCAACGAGTAGAGGTGAGCCAGAGTACGGTACGCTGGCATCTGACGTCCGGCGGAGAGGACCAGCAAGACGGACAAAGAGCCTATGACCGGGGATATCAGGTCAATCCAAAGCCTTCGGCAAAAGAAGATGCAGTAAGTTTTACCAGTGGGGCAGCTGCACAATGCAACAGCAAACGAGATCAGAGGGATATTATGCTAGTGGTGTGAGGCCAAAGAATTACATACCCTGGTTTCCTCTGTTGTCTTTGTGGACTCTGAGCTTGAAGAAGTTGAAGTGACCGTAACGTCCGACTCCGCAGCAGCAGCAACGTCCTTGGTGGAGCTGTCCGACTCAAATGGATCCCGCGACGTGACAGAAAGCTGGGGCTTGACCGACTTGGACACTTCTGATTCAAGGGACAGGCTCTGACGTTTGTCTTCGTGCAGCCGGTGCATATACCGTTTGTAGAGTGTCCATAAGACGCATCCCATTATGGCTGTCCCAAAGACGCCACCGAGAACACCTGCTACAAGTGGCACGATGATGCTGGTGACGATTTCACTAGTGCCCAATGCAGTTTCGGTTGCGTTGTTGCGGTTGCAGCAGCCTTCCAGATTTCCTGAGGCGCAGTATGAGAGATTGCCCTGACATTGGCAGCTACCTTGAGCGCACAAAAAGGGAGCTGGGCACGGGTTGCTGTCGTTGCATTTTCGGTTACTTAAACCGGTACTAGCGCCTGTGCCTCCAGTCACAGGAGTAGATGCAGAAGCAGCAGTGTCACCGACACTTGGGATTGGGGTTGGGGCAGACACGAGTTGAGTAATAGTCGCGGTGGAAGCAGTTGGCGATAACTGTGTGCAGCAGCCAGTGTTACCAAAACAAGTTTCGGTGGCAGGAGGGCACTGGCATGTACCAGTCAGGTTTGAGCCTTGAAAACACGGGCCAAAGGGGCCAAAGGGGCCAAATCACCATCGGATTGGAGTTGTCGATAGCACATAGCGCTCACACTGGTATATCAATCCACATGTCACACCACCGCCAACCGCACATTCCCTTCCATACACCGAGCAACACGTGCTGTTGTCCGACCCACACGGAGTAAAGCCCGAGCTACAGCCACATCGAAGATTTGCGCACGTCAGGTTCCCCGCGCACGTAACCGTGCCCGAGCAGTCCGACCCGAGAGTCAATGACATCGATTGTCGTGGTCGGAGGAGGCCTAGATGCGTAGGGTCCGTCCGAGGGCAGGAAATGCTCTGATCGATTCCGTCCACTTGACACAGAGGAGACGCCGATGCCAGAAAATGCCGAACATAGCTCAAAAA